TCTATCTATCTATCTATCTATCTATCTATCTATCGTTCTATGTATGTGTAGTTCTATCTATCTATCTATCTATCTATCTATCTATCTATCATCTATCTAATGTATGTGTAGTTCTATCTATCTATCTATCTATCTATCTATCTATCTATCTATCTATCTTCTATCTGTCGTTCTATCATCTATCTATCTATCTATCTATCTATCTATCTATCGATCTATCATCTGTCTGTTGTTCTATCTATCTATCTATCTATCTATCTTTTACTTACCCTGCAAGAACTGCAAGAATCATAGATAAATGAAATATATAATTAAAATTGATCCTAATAAGGTTTAAATATTAAAGTAATTAAAGTAAAAGACAAAACAGGAAATTAATTTACTTTTAGCATTATTCATGTTTAAAATGATTTATAAATAACAAATACGCCAAGTATTTTTAACTTTGTTCACTGCCTAATGTTCACACATATGATTACAAAAAGGAAACATCTGTAGTCGATCAAAGAGGTAAACATTTGGTCTACATGTAGACATGAATTTATTGGTGCACACATAAAACTATAGCAGCCTTCTCAAACTGTTTCGCGTGGACCTCTCAAAAATGTTGCTTGCACATTATTGGTCATTCTTGTAGCTCATTTATTCATCTTAAAACATTATATTACATCATACAGTCGGAAAATACATATGAAGGAGTTGGACAGTACCTTCAAATGAAGATCAATGAGAGTATATTTAATGATAAGTAAAATCCAGCAATATCTGCACTACAACTTGCCAAAGGGAAAACCTTATTAGATTAGCTGGGCCACTTCCCTTGAATCACATTTAACGGCCAAGTATTCATATCTATACGGACCCCTAAATCCCCCCCAAACCCCCTCTACTGATATTTATATTTATAATAATTTAATGCAAAATGCAATTTTTTAAAAACATTCCGAGACATGTTCTGAAGTTTATGTATTCATAACAAATAAAAATACATTATACCATCAAAAGGTGTAATATGGTGAAGCCAACTTTTACATAAAAAAAGAAACTAGAAAATAATTGCGACAATCAAGGAATGATAAGGGAGTTTTCTATGCAAGTGTTTGTATTAGTAAAAAACAAATAAACAAACAAAAAAAAGTAGGCAAAAGTTTACATTCCTACCCATGCAAGTTATAAATTTCAATGTGACTTGTAGCACAAAATTCAGATTTGTTAATAATTAAAGTTGCTTTCATCCACATCAGATGATTCAGTCCTCACAGGACCTGTAAACCACTAGAGATGTTGTTTTTCCAGAAATGTTCTTTTCACCTGCTATTCAAGTCACTTCTTGTTGATGAACTCACTCGTACGATGGAAAACACTTGCAAGATACCCTCAGGATAACGTCAGGTTTCAAGAGCAGATCTCCACTATACTTTGGTTGCGTCCTTACAACTGAGCGCTACAGCGTGCTGGATCAGACAGTTAAACACAGGAGTTACTTACAGCATGTGCCTGAATTAGTCAGTACAAGTTCATTAGTGTGGGAAAAAAAGGAATTTAACAGCATATTAAAAAAAAAAATTTATTCATTGTAATCTGCAAATGTATAAGACGGCAGTTCGAAGAGCTGAAGAACACATGAAGCATGAGTTTGGTTGACGTCAAAGCCACGGTGGTATTTGACAGATGTGATACAGGCCGAGGAAGTGTACATTTAACTTTTTAGGCTCCCTTTAGCAGCATTATATTAGAAAGACAGCTATTAGAAAGACACAAGGGATCACTTTAACTAACTTTAATACTGTCCAGAAACATGAGATACTGTCTGTGTGTTAAATGGCATGTTTAAAGGGTTAGTTCACCCAAAAATGAAAATTCTGTCATTAATTACTCACCCTCATGTCGTTTCAAACCCGTAAGACCTTCGTTCATCTTCGGAACACAAATTAAGATATTTTTGATGGAATCTGAGAGCTGTCTGACCCTGCATAGACAGCAACGCAACTGAAATGTTCCCAAGTCCAGAGACGTAGCAAGAAGATCTGTAAAATAATCCATGTGACATCAGTGGTTCATCCGCAATTATACGAAGCTACGAGAATACTTTTTGTGCGCAAAAGAAAAAAAAAAAGACTTTATTCAACAATTCGTCTCCTCCGCATCACCCTGGTGCCATTTTGGAGAATATCCGCTGGACATAAACAGCGTATGCTGTTCTGTGTCAGCTGCGTCACACGGATACGCTGTTTCCGTTCAGATCTAAGTTGGGAAACACTGATCTAGAACAGTGGCTTTTGAAGAAAATACATAATTTTTGTACAAAGTCATAAAAATATAATTTGTATTTTATTATTTTTTAATCTAAAATAAGCTGTATTTTTGTACCACTCCTTATCCTCTGTATTTTTGGCCATTTTTGTCCTGTCATCCATGAAAAATTGTGTACATGCAACACTTAACTGACATTTCCCCAATACCGTTTAAGGGGAGGCAGTATTTTTAGAATGGCTGGTCTGTATCTGTATCTGTGCAGTAGCTGTAACTTGTGTTTGTTTCCTCTCATCCAGGATATCCTGCTTATGAAGGGAGAGGGCGAGGTAAAGCTCAACATGGCGGCTGGGAAGGCAGAGATGGTCATCAAGAACAGTGGAGAAGTGGAACGAGGAGTGATTTGCTCTAAGCTTCAGGAAGTTGAAGACGCATGGGCAGCACTGCTTTTGAGAGCTATGAGTTGCCACAGGTAACCTGTTGACTTTAGTGAGCTGAGTGATCTGGTTATAAAATATTAACTTGTGAAATGACCATAATTGCAGAAGTTTAGGTCAACTGATAGTTGGATTTAAATGAAAATAAACCACGACAATGGAAACATCAATATTAATATAATTACCGGGGCCATTAAGGTATTTTGGGTCAAGAGTGATAAGAGTGGGAGCATAGTGATCTGTTTTTAAATTGGCATGTGTGCTTGACTGCAGGTGCCAGGCACCTGGGCTTTTATTCAATTATATTCATCATCACTATGGTAACCAAGTTATTATCTGGCTCTATCTGTTTCAATTAACACCAAGGGTGTAATGATGGAGCTGTTTTTTCTAATTATCTGCTAAATAATTCGGTCTGGGTTTGATAATAGGGTTCATGTTGCAGAAATAGAAACATTATCTATCTATCTATCTATTATCTATCTATCTATCTCTCGATCTATCATCTGTCTGTTGTTCTATCTATCTATCTATCTATCTATCTTTTACTTACCCTGCAAGAATAAGATATTTCATAGATAAATGAAATATATAATTAAAATTGATCCTAATAAGGTTTAAATATTAAAGTAAACAACCAGATAGACAAAACAGGAAATTAATTTACTTTTAGCATTATTCATGTTTAAAATGATTTATAAATAACAAATACGCCAAGTATTTTTAACTTTGTTCACTGCCTAATGTTCACACATATGATTACAAAAAGGAAACATCTGTAGTCGATCAAAGAGGTAAACATTTGGTCTACATGTAGACATGAATTTATTGGTGCACACATAAAACTATAGCAGCCTTCTCAAACTGTTTCGCGTGGACCTCTCAAAAATGTTGCTTGCACATTATTGGTCATTCTTGTAGCTCATTTATTCATCTTAAAACATTATATTACATCATACAGTCGGAAAATACATATGAAGGAGTTGGACAGTACCTTCAAATGAAGATCAATGAGAGTATATTTAATGATAAGTAAAATCCAGCAATATCTGCACTACAACTTGCCAAAGGGAAAACCTTATTAGATTAGCTGGGCCACTTCCCTTGAATCACATTTAACGGCCAAGT